CTAATAGTCTTAAATAGTGATTTTCATTTTTCTATAAATATTAAGACGTTACAATAACTTAGTTACTCCGCTTGGCGTTCGGAAGTGTGCCTATATGATAAAATTAAAAGAATGTTACAGTTCATAACCTTACTGTTTTTCCCTTCACACGTAAAAATTTTAATTTTCAGATGAGCACAACAATTTTGTCTTAGGAAAATGATGATCGCAACAATTTTTTGTCTTAAAAACACCGATGACGACATTGAGCTAATGTCGAAAGTACTCGGAATAAAATGAATACGTATCAACATGGTAAATTTTTTTTTTCCTTTAATGATAATACCGAGAAACTTGTTCGTAATCATGCGAGGATCTTATTAAAAATAAGCAGACAAAACTTACTTAATGACACACACACGCACACACACACATGACACATAAATTACTTAATGACACACACACGTATCTATCTATCTATCTATCTATCTATCTATCTATATATATATATATATATATATATATATATGAAAAATATACAGAAAAAACAAACAAAAATCTTAATATGTAATTATGCTGTATTAATGTTAATATAAAGTCAACATCGGACGTTTCGGTCTATTTATCTAAAATCATCATCAGGACATATTCATAAAACATAATTAACATTAGAACATATAAAATTCAACATGAAAAAGACGATGGCCATAAGAGCACAACTAATCCAAACAGATAACTGTTAATACAGAATAATTACATATTAAGATTTTTGTTTGTTTTTTCTGCATATTTTTCTTCATACTGTCGGATCCATATCCATATATTAGCTTATATATATATGTAAGAGCATATGCAGGCGGAACTGACAGACAATGCACAAGCATTGTAGTTTATATGTGTATTGTTGCTTGTAATTTTCACAGAGAGCTTCAGATGCATATATTTACTTTTTCAGATGTTTCCCTGGAGGAAACAGCGTAGGATGCAGCGTTGAACTTGTTTCAAAGTGCACATGCAAACTTATACGGAAGAAATGGCGCCTTTGCACAGCCAAGTGACTAAGAATGCGTTCAGTCGATGCAGTTTTTTTTTTATGAAAGGCGCGCGTTTTCTGTTTTTGTTTTGATTTATTTGGTTGCATATTCAAATATTTGTGGACACATTGCAGTGTCGGTGCGCACGTATTTACAGAGCTTAGCTTAGTTTGACACACGGCCAAATTGTGGGGCATACAGTCGAATCGAAGTTAATTCTGTTTTAATGGCCTCCGTGGCGTATCATTTACACCTATGTATGCGTATACTAATTTATGTTCATAAGCAGTAGACTAAGTTACCACAACGATTTTCTCATTCTAGCTATCTATTCAGGCCAGGCGTTGAAATAGTTCTTTCTGTATATCAAACAGCATGTCCACATCTATCTATCTATCTATCTATCTATCTATCTATCTATCTATCTATCTATCTATCTATCTATGTCTATCTGAGAATATGATATATAAATATTTTATATCACACTAATGGGGGGTGGGTAATTGAATGAAAAAATGGACTAAGCAGGGAAATGGAGAAATATGCTCGTAGCGTAGCGGTTATCGGCGCGGAAATTGGGAGCGACCGGCAGAATTCAAATTCCGGCTGATTCAAATTCATATTCTAAAAAAAAATAAAAAATAAAAAAAAATAATTAAATAAATAAAACTATGAGTATAATAGCTCTCTTTCCAGCCAAGGGTTAAACTGCAGGATAAACTGGGTTCACACGACTTGTTTGGCAACCAGTTTAGGAGAATAACAACTCTGTATTAAAAACAAAAAAAAATCGGCTGCCTTGCGATTATAAACATTGCTGGGGAAAGCCTTGGTGAGTCAACACCGCTGAAATTTGATAGCAACTCCTGCGATGGCTTTCGAACCACGCGTATCAGCAATTGCATTTCCTTTGGAGAGAAGGGTATCTATTGCATGGGTAACCACATCTACATCTTTGTGCACTGAAAGATCATCCAGAGACCATAGTCTCCCGAAACTAAAACGGATGCCGTGGATCCATTATTAGAGAACAGACTTATTGATTTAACAAGGTATAAATTTTTGAAAATTTTACTTGATCATTTGAATGGAAATGTTTTTAGAGAAGCTATACCAGGGCATCATATACTATGGAAAGAACAATCATTTATTCACTGAATTTTCTCTTAGTGACTGTCCGTCATTATCTATCTATATTTCTGAGATGAGGTGTTATTTTCATTATTCGGATTATTATTCTCATCTTTATCTACCCCAGCTAGCGAAATAAAGGGTTCAGTTCGACATTTCAACCACCTGAAGAAGGCCGGAGTGTACAACGGCCGAAACGTTGTGATAAATATGGCAACAATGATGAGGACAATGGTCCGAATGATGCAAATATTGAGTGTCCATGTCTTGAACCGCTACTGTGACTCAAGTTTATACCTACAGTCGAAGCTTATGGCCATATTCAAACATCGCTTCTCGTATGAGCACCGAAGTTAAACAACGTCGATCCTGGTCAGTACCTGGATGGGTGACCTCTTACGAATATCAGCTTCACCATTTTGGATGTACGGGGGATGCAATGGATAAAGACTCAGAATTGTTAATGGGAGAGCCGAGTTCTAATTCCAGTTGTGTTCAGTACATTCACTTCCTTGTAAATACCCTTAGGAAAGGTATAAATTCACCTCTTCCCCCGAACTATGTATTAATTAGTAAGACTTGTTTTTGTGATGTCAACAAACACCCGTTGCCACTTTTGTGATGTCAACGAATACTCATTGTCACTTTTGTAATGTACGTTGTAGTAGAGACTTTGTAATCGCAGATACAACTATAGTAACACCATTGAACAATACTGGTGTCAGACGTCTTCGAATAATCTCGCACTAGTAGTACTTGCTCAATAATACTCGCTCGAATAGTAACTCGTATAGTGATCTGAATAGTAATCCATATAGTGACCAGTATAGAGAAATAGTATTGTGAATAGAGAATAGCGGCCCGTATAGTAATAGAGGATAGAGTAGAAATGGTGATCCGTATAGAAATAGAGGATAGACAAGAAACAGAGAGCGTTAGTCGTCAGCTAATTCCTACATATATGCGTTTCCTCTATGGTCACGTGGTCTACTTAATTCAACAATGGGATCACCTGTGTTTGTTCACTGGCGATCTATGTTCAAACTCAACTTTATTCCTATATAACACGTGTATCACTAAATCGTTATTATCTAAGAAAAAAAGGGCTTACAATCTAAAAAATATTTTCTAACTTTAGTTAAATTTCAAAAGGTTGATAAACCGTAGAAAAGAAATCATCAACCGAAAAAAGACTTCAGTGGAACTCACATATACGATCCATCGATAAATATGCAGAAAAAAATTGTCGGCTTCTGACAAAATCCCAGAAAGTATCTGACATCTGCATGCATTATCTTTACAATAGACAGATTATACCAAATAGGGATTATTACTATCATACCTGGGCTGGCACTGCTCGATCTTCACTTTCCAGCCATTATAGAATCCAAGATCATTTATGCAGCTTCGTGGGAGATATTTTCCACCCTGCAGTCTCTTTCTACATATTTGCAACGTTGCAAACATATTGCGACTCGTTAATCGTAATGTCCATGGCAAATCATCAGAAGAACTCCATTCTTTAGTTTCATAAGTGCAGGCCTTTACAGCCAAAACCCACCATGCTAAATTCGCAGAGTCGGATCACCGTCATTCCACTTGTATTCCATTTGTAAGGATGAAGTTCCACTCAGATAGTTTCTTGACAAGAACAGCTAGTCTCGCGTAGATTCATCCGTAGTTCACACTCCCAAGTAGTTGTTCTCTCGAACACTCAGATAGGCCTCCGCCAGTCATCAATGACCATGGATTTGATCCAACCCATCTGTAAGGTGGGATCAAGTCTGAACAGGATGGTATGAAGGACAAGATGTTGCCTATGCTGCATGTACCCCAACTCCACGCTGCTGATGGATCCAAAGGAACAGTAAGGCCATTACAGTTTGGTACCATCACCGTCGCAGGAGCTGCCAGAACGAGGCTGAAAATCAGCGACGAACTGTCTAAGGGGTTCCAACTGTGAATTATTTTTTTTAGCTGTATAGTATGTACTATATCAGGGCGACATACAGTTTTGAATTCAGATTTACACTTCACTCTTAACATCTTCAAGTCAAAGTTCAATAGTTATCTCTCCCCCTTATCATCATAATCTTTACTTCCTACTTCTTACCTTGAGGCGCATATCATAAACCTCATCCAGTAAATATCTACCTTGAGCGGCTCTTGAGCTTACATTCAGTAATAATAATAACCAGAGCAAAAAAGAATAAAAAAGCTTTATTATTTACCTTAGCAGAGACGTTTATCTTTTAAAGTGTTCTTTTTTTTTTCTCTGTTTGGATTTGTTTTTAGTTCTTTTCTTCAGAAAAAATAACTTTTCAAAAAAATATCCATGGGTACATGTCTCTTAATCAAAGAGTTCAGTTTCCATCAATATGAAGAATTCCTTTTAAATACACCCAACTCCAGCATATAGCGTTCCGTTGCTTTTGTTTTTTTGTTTTTTTTTATCTGTATTTTTGTAGTAGCGTCATATGGAGGTTTTTGCGTACGTCATCAGGGATTCAGAAGATCCCTTGAGAGTTTTGTCAGGTGCGCATGCGCGGTCACTTTTTATCTCCTGTGAAGATTACGCCTGTCTAATTCTGTGAGCGACTGTATGCATTGAACTCGGATCTAGAAATGGACGATGTGTTTATTGAGTGATGAAAACTGATAAATCCAGTCGTCAGTAACGTATTTGATTTCGTTTTGTTATTCTTTCCATCAAAGCCATACTAGATCCGGCTTTCATATTGCTTATCTTGTCAATAGAACGTTGAAACTATAGCCTCGAAATACAGTATCTGCTGTTAGGCCTACAGCGATTTCAGTTATCAGCTGTCAACCCTAAAAACTCATACGTTATACTTAATGCTTCTATCTATCTATCTATCTATCTATCTATCTATCTATCTATCTATCTATCTGTTCATATCTATCTATGCCTGTTCATATATATATATCTGTTCATATATATCTGTTTGTTCATATCTATTTATGTATCGTCATGTCTATCTATCTATTTATCTATCTATCTATATATCTATCTATCTTTCTATCTATCTGCTTATACCTATCTATTTATCTAACTTCGTCTGTTCATATCTATCTATCTATCTATCTATCTATCTATCTATCTATCTATGTCTGTTTATATCTACAATGTCTGTTCATATCTATCTAGGTATGTATGTTCATATCTATGTATCTGTCAGTCTCTCTGTCTGTCTATCTATCTATCTATCTATCTATATATCTGTTTATATCTATCGATGTCTGTATCATATATATATATATATATATATATATATATATATATATATATATATATCTGTTCATATATATCTATGTTTGTTCCTATCTATTTATGTATGTTCATATCTATCTATCTATCTATCTATCTATCTATCTATCTATCTATCTATCTATCTATTTATCTATTGTTCATGTCTGTTTATCTATCTGTCTATGTCTGTTCATATCTATCTATCTATCTATCTATCTATCTATCTATCTATCTATCTATCTATAACAATTTATTCATTATCTATCTATCTATCTATCTATCTATCTATCTATCTATCTATCTATCTATCTAATCCTATTAGAAATTGTATATAAAATCAAAAAGTGAAGGTTGCGGGCAATTTTGAGTTCGTGAGATTCGAGTGCATGAATTTTGGTTAGTTGGTAGATTTGTTTAGTGGCACATCAACATCAGTATGGATCATTTAATGCCGAAATCTAAATATTTTGAGCACAATTTTATGGCTTCAAATAATGTTTTAAACGTAATTGTATGTATTGAACAACATATAAATCCTATTGTGGTTCCTTTTGCTATAAAATGTATAATTCGTAATTCTACTGTGAAATTGCATTGCTGGTAATTTTGTTTTAAAATTGTATCGTTGGTAATTTTATATATATATATATATATATATATATATATATATATATATATATATATATAATGCACTGTTGGTAATTTTATTATAAAATGTATTGTGTTTTTGTTTGGGGATTTAATATTTACCAATAGCTGGGACCCTAACAGGTGCTACCACTCCGGGTCCGGATGGACCTGGGAGCAACAGCAAATAAGAGGTTGTTCCACGCTCCTGAAAACCTCCAGTCTCCCGTATATAACAGATTTTATAGCCAAAGCTCCTCTGCCTCAGAGAACAGAGGCTATGTCAAAGAGAAAATGAAAGAAAATATTTTTTGTTGACATACAGTCCAATCGAGGAACATAGTTTCAAACTTCCCTTTAAGTTAGATACTTAGCTCTTATTTACTGTACCTATGAACATTAAAAGTTATGTCCCACTCCTCATAAATACGTTGGACACTATTGTTGGGGATAATAGGGTGTTTAAGTAGTCCACCACTAGCAGTGGTTTACCTACTTTATAGCATTGCCGAGTATTGTATTTTGTTGATGTTATATAGATTACCATTTCATTTCCAACCTAGGTTATGGTTATTCCTCATTCAGTAACCTTTTCTAGGTTAGAACACAGGAACAAAGAAGAAGAAAAAGAAGAAGAAAGAAAGAAAGAAAGAAAGAAAGAAAGCGTGTTATATACTATATCTATGAACACTAATGAGTATGTTCTAATCCTCATAAATACTTGGACACTATTGTAAGGGGGGTAATATGATGTCTACGGTGGCAGCGTGAGCTGCCAGCGTGGGAAACTCTTGCCGAGTTGAACTCTCTGCCTTCGGGAAGAGAGGAACCCGGACGGGGCTATAGCGAAAGGCAGAGACTCGTCCGGGGGGTAGGCAGATACCCTATCTATCTATCTATCTATCTATCTATCTATCTATCTATCTATCTATGTCTGTTCATATCTATCTATCTATCTTTGTCTGTTCGTATCTATCTATCTATATCTGTTCATATCTATCTATCTATCTATCTATCTATCTATCTATCTATCTATCGTATATTACATTATCTATTATTGTACATTGCATTATCTATCTATCTATCTATCTATCTATGTGTTTTCTGAAAAAATATCTGCCAGACATAGAAATACTTGCAAGAAAGAAATCCAATTTAAAGCGTATTGTTTCGGATTAGTGCCGTTGCCTTTTTTTATCTTCGTTTATTTAAAACTCTACGCTTCAAGCTCTAGCAACTTAGAGCCAAAGAATGTAATGTCTCTCAAGGAAAATATTTTTTTTTCTTGGCGTTGACATCTACTAGAAAGAGCCAACGTTGGCAGCGCCTCTCTTAGAACACTCGCCGATTCCGGCCAATGTAGAATTTTAATTCTTGCAATACTCCGTTTGCATACATTAGCTTAATAGAGCATCGATAAATTTCGAGGAATATATCATCTCGTTTATCTTGGAATCTTAATCAAAGGTCATAGATCGACACGCTTTCCGAATTTTCTGACATATGGCCTTTGTATAATTCCCTTGGCAAGTCTCACGTGAAGCTATCGCTCATTACTAACACGCGCTTATTGTCTAAATCTATCTAATTCAGCTTCATGCGTGGCATTTGAATGTACACCAAAAATTATTATTTAGTCACTTTTTTTTTTCTGGTGGCTTATTAATCTAACCGATTGTCTTTATTAGTGTTATAGTAATTTACCCACGCAGGCAGGGACTCTCCCAGCTATAAACAGGAGCAGGTACTGCCTTTTGGAGAGGGAAATTTCCAACAGTCAGGTTTGACAGTCAGACCTAACATTCTTGCTGTAACACTCTCGTTTGTATATGTTTTGTATTACTGTTTCTGTTAATATATTTGTTTAACTCAATTCCTTTCTTTGTGTCTTTATTTCTGGCACTAACAAGGTCACAACAATTAGTCACTGAATATTCCCCTCGACCTGATTATACAATATCGTAGAGATCTCTTTATATGGACCTGATTTATTCGTTTAAATCGAAAACTGAATCGCCAGATGGGATTTTACCAGTCCCTATGACCGGTTTCAATTCTGGCATTATCCCGCTTTCAGTCCAATTTATTCGGTTCGTCAACTAATAGTCTGAGTGAATTCTGATGAAAACAAATAAATTTAAGATGAAAAAATTACTAATCAGGCATTAATAAGCGCTTAATACTTCGTCAAGTAATTAAAAATTTAAGATCATATTATCTGTTACGGTAATTTACCCACGCACGCACGGACTCTCCCAGCTATAAATAGGAGCAGGTACTGCCTTTTGGAGAAGGAAGTGTCTAGCTGTCAGCCCTGACAGTCAGACCGAACATTCCTGCTGTAACATTCTCGTTTGTATATGTTTGTATTACTGTTTCTGTTAATATATTTATTTAACTCAATTCCTCTCTTTGTGTCTTTATTTCTGAACCAAACAAGGCCACAACATTCTCTTTTAACAATATTTTGACAGCATTTGTCCTACACTATATTCGGCATACATAGATTTTCGCTTTGTTATTGTTCTCAAGCATAGCTATCCTGTAACTTCATATTATTAAGCGAAAGGAACATATTAGAATATCCTTATAAATTATGGCCACACTGCTTTTTCGTAGTGTCAAACGGAGATGAACGCTTGCGCTAATTGAATATTTTTTACAAATTATGGCCACTCAGATCATTCGTAACTTTCAGCGGAGATGGACACTTCAACTAATTGAATATCCTTAAAAATTATGGTTATTCTGTCCTTTCGTAAATTGCACTGACAGACAGTGTCATTTTTTGCGCGTCATTATAGTGTGAAAGTAATCGGTTAATCCGCATGGAAATGACATTTAAAAATAAATTACTGAAATGAAGTTGTTTTTTTATTATTAATCGCTATTGCCTATCCGAAGCATATGGCCTAGCGGTTTAAAGCGCTGTTTAAAAACTTACTGTAGCTGTAGTTCAATCCCTGGATCTACTGGTGATAAATTTCACATACTCTCGTTCAGTCGAAGGAACGATCAAGCGACTCCGATAAGACAATTCGGCCAACACTAATACGAATTATCTCCCTTGAAGTATGTAAAACCGAAGGAGAATAATCTAGACCTATGGATTGAATAAAGTGTTTAAAATTTCTAGAAATTTACCAAGTATGAGAAGAAGTACCTGAGGAAGGCCGGAGAATAGAAAGGCCAAAACATTGTAAATATAACAACAAATTTGAGGATACTGGTTTCACTAGTAGGTCATACAATAATAGTAGTTACCCGTCTAAAAAAATTCCGGCAAAAATTTATAAAGAATGCAAAAATTATTTCGCTGTCTCTGTTTATTTTAACATGTTCATATATAGCATTTTTCAGTTTTTACATTTTTTTACGACAGTAGGTATGACATTCACTCAGTTTCTCCCTCATATAAAAAAATATTCTAAAATCCTCAACATCCTTCGTTCGTGCGCATATGTAGTCGTACCAACAGTTAGTCCGATGAAGTCCTAAAAGACAAAACGTGTCAAAAGTAAAGATAGATGTTCCAATTTTTATACAATTCCCCAATAGTCATTATTATATATATATATATATATATATATATATATATATATATATATATATATATATATATATATATATATATTTTTTATTAAACAAGACTGTCAAGTCTTGTTTAACAAAACATGCATTAAAGAGGGATTATTATCCAAATACAAACTATATATATATATATATATATATATATATATATATGAAGAAAAAATATATGGAAAAAACAAACAAAAATCCTTATATACAATTATGCTGTTTTAATGTTAATATGTCAACGTCGGACGTTTTGGTCTAATAAACCATCTTCAGAACATATTCATATTTTTATGTTTGTTTTTTCCGTATATATTTTTCTTCATACTGTCGGATCTATATCCATATATTTGCTTACATACATACATACATACATACATATATATATATATATATATATATATATATATATATATATATATATATATATATATATATATATTGTATGATGTATTTATAAAGAAGTAAAGGAAATTATTGATTATTCCGGAAAATTTTATCACTTTAAACGTTATTTTTGGTCGATACTCTGATCTGGACATTGATTAAAAATAACATGTGAAGTGATAAAAAAAAGGTCCTTTGATTCTTTAGAAATTGGTTGTTTACGTTTGGATACGAAACTTAGCAGATGTGAACTTTCGAAAATCTATGACGGGAAGGATTGCACTGAAAGGCAATTTTCGGCCTTCTTTGATCAACGCCCCCATTCGTGGCCGAGTCAGTATCTAACGATGGTTTCTCAATCTAAGTAAGACGCAGTTTCGAATCCAGCCGCAGGGTGCATATTTCTCATGAATAAGATTTTTCGAATATTTAGGCCGCTTGACGAAAATAGATAAAATGTTAAAAATAAACGGATCATCAATTCAAATATGGGTATTCCCATAATGTAACGTTTAAAGTACTTTAAAAAACATGCCTTTGTTTTTCAGCGGTAGGTACACGTCTGTTTCTTGCATGAAGAAATGGTTAGACACAAAGTGAAAACAGACCGTTCTAAAAATTTTAATATTAATATTTATAACCTGTTAAGTTTGTGGAGCAGTCTATTTACTTATGAATAAAATATATTTAAAAAAATATAAAAAAACAATCGAATAAATTGTAGACATGAGAATATGTACATGCAATTTGCAATATTATATATTTGTATGTACATATATATGTGCACATATAAGTAGGTGTGGATGTATACATACTTATACATTTGTATATGTGAATATGTAAGTTATATTTGTAAGTATATGATTAATATGTTGAAAAAAACAGGGTGATTGAAAAGTAATTCCCTATTTTTTGTATGAGAGGCCAGCCAGGAAACCTCCGACTTAAAACTCTATGACTTTTTTTTCTTTGGTTAAAGGATCAAGTCTATTATATCAAACCAAATCTATGGAAGAACTTGAAGGTTGAATATAAGAAGTTACGTCTTCCATACTACAAGGGTCCTTGGTGAAATCAATTGACGCGATTCTTGGGTGACTTAAGAAGTAGCGAAATCTGGTGTCCATATCGAATTTTAAATAAACGCTTTCCTCTTATATACATTTGGTAAAGCTTCATGAGTATGAGACATGAAAAAAATTCTGGTATTCCCATTTTTGTGTCGTTTGAATTTCATTGGTTAAGGAGATTTCATGTGCATTTGACTAGTTAAGCAGCTTTCGTGTTTATAATTTGTGTCTAAGTGTAACATAATTCTAGTTTGTGTATGCTGGATTCTGATAATAGTGTATTGTGACGTACCTACGATTTCATTAACCATAGAGGCGTAAAGTTAAAACACATCCCAAAGAAAAATCCTAAATTCTAGTCGAAAATTAGTTAGATATAAATAAATAAATAAATAAATAAATAAATAAAAATAGATAAAATCCAATGCTTTCAACATGCGAGCGAATATGTCCCATGATCAGCCATACCCTTCTCTTCTCTTCACAAATTCTTTCCCCTCTTTACCTACTCTTCCACCCACAAGCCAAGGACCCGTGAACTTTGAAGCGACCCGACGCGATAATGACCTGGTTCCAAAATCCCGCAGTTATCAGGCGGTTGACCATAAGTGAATTCCAGATACCATCAGGATCTGCTGCGATTCACGTGATCAGACCCTACGGAGGGTCGGTTGAATTTTTGGCCGTAACGCAAACACTGCGGGATATGCGTCCCATCCTCCTGTGTACCCGGTCAAGGACGAAGAGAACTCACGTGACTATCTTTTGGGGACAGCAAAAATCGAAAAAAATGGTTGGCAGTTTCCGTCTGACCAGTGGCAGATGAACATCGCTGGGCGAATTGTCCCAATTCCAAATGGCTGCCCACTGAAATGAAGAAGACAGCAAAATCTGTCGACGAGAGATGAAAGGACTGCTACGAAACTGAATCAACTAACGAAACGCCTGTACGAGATGCTGTGGACCCCGAACATTTCTGAAAGAAAAGGAACCCAGGAAAAATGCCGGCCGACCAAATATTCTTTTAACATAAAAACTCTCGCTTCGGCGAATCAAAATTTTGTGTGGAAATATC